AACTAAATAGCAAGCAGACAGACAGCACAATTCAAGCTTTTTTTTCTTTTGAAACAGGGTTTCACCATGTTGCCCAGGCTGATCTCGAACCCCTGACCTCAACTGATTCACCCACCTAGGCCTCCCAAAGTGCTGGGATTACAGGTGTGAGCCTACACCTGGCCTTGAGCATCTTTTTACCAGAATATACGGGTGCCGAGATGCGCCTTAATCATACACGTCCATAACATTTTATGGACATGTGAAAGTGAAAGCTTTTTTGAAAAACCTGGAAGACAAGACGCATAGCTCTGGTAGAAGAACCAACTGCCAAGATGCCGCAATGGCTGTGTTATCGAATAATATAGGTAATGATAATATAGAAAAGATTTTTGTGAAAGCTTTTTAAAAATTAAAAAATCAAATCTTGTAACTGGAAATTTTATACACTCAGAAAAATTAGGGGGTTATTTAATGAACAGGGATTATTTAAAACAGAGTTGATGTTGAAAGCCAGTTTCATTCCATGTTAAACCATTTCAGTGGGCCCCCTCCAAAAAATCAATTAAAACAAACTTTTCTAATATGGAGAGATAAAACAAGAAGTCACTAACAAGAACAAAGACACATTTTAAGCTATACTCACTGCATATCAGATATGAGCATGTGCCCCAAAACAAAGTGTGTGTGTATATACACATATGGAATCTGTCAAAACTTAGTTTTAACAGTAATACCATCTTTTAAAAATCACCTTCTAGAAGAGAAGAGACATAGCTCTGGTAGAATAATCAATTGCCAAGACACCAATATGGTTCTCCATTAGCAAAACATATGCCCAGGAGGAACCACACCATTTTAGGTATTATCTCCAAAAAACAATTCTCACCCATTTTAGTACTCCGGAAGTAGGATTTCAAAGCAAACGCTTAACTTTTTAAATACCTAGCTGGCTTCTACAGCGCAATACTTCCACATCATTTTGTTTTCATATACAGAAAAAAAAAATCCAACTAAGCCTGCTTGCAGCCCATAGATTAAGAAATAAGATCTGTCTTCAATTACCCAATATGAACCTTCAATTATTGTCACATGAAGTCTACATTTCACTTTCAAACGCCCCTATGGTAAACATTACAACTCTAGCTTAACATTGTAGCATTGACATAAAGCAAGATTTCAAAAGCTTTCTTCATTTGGGAGCAACTGAGAAATTTTAGGTAATTTAATATAATTTGCTGATTTTTCCAAGTAAACACAAATTTTAACTCCCCAAACTTTTTACTCCAAAGTTGAGCTAGCTTTGGATTATAAATTACCACAACTTCTCCAGCCATCAGAAAATTGTCCAACAGTCAAGATAACATCTGCTAAAAAGTCTCTTAAAAGGCAAAACCACTACTACATATACACATAAGGTGCTATTCTACTAGTCACACAACTCACTTTCACAGGACAAACTGTTAGTATCAAGTTTCAGGAAACACATACAATAGTTTCAAGTAGGCCAGGCGCGGTGGCTCAAGCCTGTAATCCCAGCACTTTGGGAGGCCGAGGCGGGTGGATCACGAGGTCAAGAGATGGAGACCATCCTGGTCAACTTGGTGAAACCCCGTCTCTACTAAAAACATAAAAACTTAGCTGGGCACGGTGTAATCCCAGCTACTCGAAAGGCTGAGGCAGGAGAATTGCCTGAACCCTGGAGACGGAGGTTGCGGTGAGCCGAGATCACGCCATTGCACTCCAGCCCAGGTAACAAGAGCGAAACTCCGTCTCAAAAAAAAAAAAAAGTTTCAAGTAATATCTTTACTCCTAAATCTAAAATAGACACACATAAATGGAGGTAAAATCACCAAAACACTCAACAGAGAGTAAAGCTTCTTAGTTCAGCTTAAATAACTGCTTATGAACACTACGAAATAAGACTAACACAACTTTGGAGATGAAGCACTAAGTTCTTGATAAAGACTTTCTGGAAGTTTTTGGGTTTTGCTGGGTTGAGATAAGCTTCTTCTGGGGGGCAGTGAAACTGTTTCCTATGTATGTATAGGAAACGTGAAAGGCCTCTGAAATACAAGAAAAGCTAAGGCCAAAGCAAAGACAAACTGGCAGACACCTAATCACAAGTACCAAGAAAGTCACAAGTGAAGTCCAATCTTCTACCAGTCTGTGTTTAATGGCATATATAAGGCAATTCCCTTCTCGCCTATAATAGTTAATTCTGTCCACATTTTCTTCTCATAACTAGATACTTGTCAACCATAAACAGGCACACAAAAACACCTCAGGGCAGTCTAAATTTCTAAGCTATTTCTTTAAAAAAAAATGGTTTTCAAGTGAAAACCAAGACTGAATCCAAATTAACACTTTATTTGTATAGTTACAAAACAAAACGCAAGCCAAAGGTTACCCTCTTATGTTTGTAACAAGGTATCCTGAAGTTTCCTCTGGCAGATAAATATTCATAGCACTATAAAAACCCAAGGTAAATTGCTTAAATACATTGTTGCAGTTACCTAGGCCTCTCCACCCCCATATCTTTAAGTCATAAACATTCACTCTCCCTAACAGTAACTCGTAAATAACACTAAGGAGCAAACATCAGACAATATTTTAGAGGGGAAAAAAATTTTTTAACAAATGGTCGTTTTTACTATCCACATTCCCTAACAAGACATTGCACTAACATGGAACGTTTTCGGTTATCGTTAGTGCCTCTAAAAACCTGGACTTACTAGTTTTTAAATCCCTTGTACAAAATAATGTGTTAAGTTTCTAACGGGTCTCACCAAAATATCTTTAAAAGGTTTAAGAGATGATCTTATACTTAGATCTCAAATTCCTAACAATAACGGATCTCACTAGATCACTTAGTCCATTTCCCACCCCTACCAATCATCCCATTCATTCAAGTCTATTCCTTCAAACCCTTTTTCAACACCCACCAGGTAAAAACGAGTGTGCCCTCATGGTGCAAACAGAAGGGAAGGCTCTTCCTCCTATAATAATCTCTGAACGTCTGCCTCTCGAGGTAAAAATAAACTTTTTACACCTAGTCTTACAAGAGAACTGTGTGTAGACATTGACAGGAATCCTTAACTTTCTGGCATGGTTTTAAGTCTAAATAAATTTGGACAGCTACCATAAACACCACTGCTATGCCAGGGAAAATCCTGCACTGGGATACCTCAAGTACATGTAAAGAAAAAAAAACTATAATCAAGTAAGCTTTGTTCATAACAAGTTGCTTTGAAAAAATCTTCTGCAGTTTAAAACCTCAGCACATGAAACTTTAGTTCTAGCCTCACGTTTTTAAAAATCTACTTGAAAACAATAATCTCCTAAAGTAACTCATCAACATATAAGAAATTTAAGAAATATAAGAAATTTAAGAAAACAAAGCTAAAGGCAATTCCACTGAATTACTAAAACACCCCAGAATCAAAGTGTTAATATTCATTAACATTTTGGACACAAAGTATAAAGGGGTCACAGAAGAACCCTTAAGCATTCACAGAATAAAATAACTAAACATAACTTGACACGAAACTTTATGATTCATCAATACTCAGAAAATGACTATCATCAAAATTAAGTGTGAAGTACAAAACACACCAAGGAATAATACTTTTAATTCCTTTCTTTCAAAAATTGACTGCATTGTTTTTTGGGGGAGAGAAAAGGACTGAAAAGTTTCAGTGAGAGGACTCACTACCATTACCTTACTTTTCCATGATAAAAACCGTAGGGGATACAATCTCTAGGTTACAATCCTGAGTCATTACACACGAATCACTTCAAAATTTGCCAGTATTTCTAATAATGAGTTACACCCTAGTGGTTTACAAGTCCAGACTGGCTACAGCTTCCTGGCTCCTGGATTCCCAGCTGTATGACCTTAGACCAGTCAGTGCCCTTCTCTAGGCTTAGTCTCCTCATCTGTAAAATGGGAACAGTTCCTACTGGTTGGGCAAGCTCGTCAATCCACTGAAAACCCTGACAACAGCATCTGGCACTCTTCGTCCCAATCTTCAACTGGGTGTGAAAACAATGTTCTAAGGTGTATTTTCTGACAATTTGGGTGGAATTCAAGAACCAAATGGTAATGGCATTCATGCGCTGCGCCTAGATTACAGGATTCGTGTCACCTAGGGTTGGGCGAAAGGCACAAGCAAAAAGCCGGAGTCACTGACTCACTAATTTTACCATTTTTAACTATTTCAGATTAGGGAGGAGCCTTTCGCCAAGTGCCGAGCTACTCAGCAGCTTTGGTGGCTCCGAAGCGAGAGTGGGTTTGTGCCTATAAATAGACTCGTGAAGTTTTGTGGTGATGCACAGGTATCCATCCTAATTCACCTCTCCTCAGCCACCAACTCCCCCGGCTGCAGGGCAGGTCATCCCTCCTCCACCCCGAGCCGCCGGGGACACTCGCGCTCCCCGCCCAACTTCGGAGGCCAGCGAGTGCCCCTCGCTGCGGCGCGGACCCCCAGGGCCGCCGAGGCAGCGGCTCCCGACCTTCGCCGGCGCCCGGCCCGGCCCGGCCCGGCCCCGCTGTCCTCGCCCACCCAGCAGCCGGCCCCATTTTCTTAACCCGTGCATTGTCCTTGCGAAGCACCCCGGCGGTTCCCACACTGGTGGGGACCGAGAGGAGGGACGAGGGAGGAGCTGGGGGAAGAGGATGAGGAGGAAGAGGAGGAGGAGGAGGAAGACAACCTCCACCCCTTCGCTGGGGCGGCCAGAGAAGGTCTGGCGCTGTCTGCGGCCCCCCAAGCCCCGGCTCCCCGGAGGCCGCGGCCCCCGCTCCCACCCTCCGCAACTTTCCCTCCGCTCTCGCCCGCCGCTCCTCCGGGACCGGGCCTGGGGCTCCCTCCCTCGGCAGCCAGCCCCGGGCCCGCGGCGCCTCCTCCTAAAATGGCAGGTCCCTCCCTCCGCCCGGCCGGCCTCGGCGCGGACCCGGCTGCGGGCCGCCGGAGGAGCCGCGCGCCGGGCCGGGCGGGGCCGCGGCCGGGCCGGACACTCACCGGGACGATGGCGGGGCGCTCGCGCCGCTTCCTCCGGTGAGTCTCAGCCTCGGGCTCCCGCGCCGCGCTCCCGCTCCCGCCGCGGCCTCCGCAGCCAGCGCCGCCCCGGCCGCCTCTCTCCGCCCCCGGCGCTCCGGCTTCTGGCCGCGCCGCAGCCTGCTCAGTCTCTCCTCGGCTCGCGGTTCCAACGGCGCCCGGGGCCGGGGAGGCGACAGCCCCCTCCCCGGCAAATACCGCAGTCCCCGGGCCCCGAGTCCCGGCGGCGGGGCCGCGCGGCCCGGCCCGGCGTGGAGGGCGGCGGCGACGAGGCCGGGCGCCGAACGGCGGCTGCTGCAGGCGGCTTCTTCCCGAAGAGGATTTTGTAAATCTCACAAAATGGCGCGCGCTCCGAACCTGCGCAGCGAGAAGCGCCGGGGCCCGGGCGGCGGCGGCGGCTCCTCCGCCAGGAGAGCCCGAACCGCCCGCCCCCGAGTCCCCGCACAGACAGACAGACACTCGCACACACCCGCACACCCGCGCGCACACTCGCTCTCGCACACGCTCCCTCGCACACACACTCGCACTCACACCGGTCCCGCCCGCTCGCCGGCGGCGGCAGCGGCACCAACAGCAGCAGCAGGAACAGCAGCAGCAGAAGCGGCGGCGGCGGCGCCCGCACCCCCCTCTCGGGGTGTCCGCTCCCTGAGCCCGACCTGGGCCACGATCAGCAGCAGCGACGGCAGCAGTCTCCCCGGATACCCCCGCCGCGATTGCCGCCGCCACCCCCGCCTCACTCCAATGGGGCTTTTTATTATTATTCGGGCGGGAAGCGAAAGGGTTTAAAAAAAAACCAACCAACAAAATGGCGACGGACCGACCCGGTCGCTATAGCAACTGTCAATCAAAACGCAAAACCCCGGCTGACGTGCTGACGTCCTTCTCCCGCCCCCCGGCCCCGAGCCGGCAGGCGGGGCCTGTTGCTCGGGTAACGGCAGATTCCGTTCCCTCCTTTCCGTCTCCCCCTCCGTCCCCAGCCAACCACCCAACCCCCCTCAGGTCACGTGAAGGATAAATTCGGAGCTCGGGCCCGCTACGAGTGTCAGAGGAGGGCGCGTGATTCGCCCGGGGGAGGGGAAAGGAGGAGGACGGCTGGGCCGAGGGAGGGAAGGGGCAGAGGAAGGGGGGCGAGGCGGCGGCCCGGCCTGTGCGCGAGCGCCGGCCGCCTCGCCCCGCCCCGCGTCCGCCGCGCCCGCGCCGACTGCGGCCCGGGGAGCGCGCGCGGCCTCCCGCGCCGCCGCCTCCGCAGCCCCAGCGCTCCGCGCTTCCGCGCCGGCGCCCGCAGCCCCGCCTGTGCCGGTGCAGGGCGGGGGGGACGGGCGGCCCCGGGCGGGGGAGGGGTCGGGAAGCCGCGGCCTTTGGGTGGGGACCCGGGAAGCCCACCCCGCTCGCCAGTGCCTGGAGGGCTCTCACCGCGGTCCGGGCACGGCGCTCGCCTCGCTCCCGGGGGAGCGCGCCGGCCGCGGCTGTCCGCGCGTGGAGCCGGTTCTTCGAAGGGCTCGCGGGTCCCCTCGCCGGAAAAAGCCGGCGGAGGCCGCGGTGGGGGCGGGGAGGAGCCGCCGCCGCCGCGCCCCAGACATCGCAGGAATTCCGGACGTTGCGCCAGCCACGGCGGCCCTGCGGCTGGCACCCGGCTCCGGTCGGACTGCTCGGGTTTTGTGGCGCCGGAGACCAGCGTTGGGAAATTAGGCTGGAGCCATCATGAAAACTTTTTCAGGCTGTGCACGCTCGCTGGTGTCTGCCCATCTGCTTCCAACCCCTCCCCACCTTTCTGGGTGCAGCCTGCCTGCTCCATCGGAATGCCCCTTAGATGAATCCCCTTGTGCTGTTACTGTGTCCTTGTCCACTTCCGTGGTTTTCTTTTCCATACACCTTCTCGGTTTCGAGTCTTAATTTGCCCGCTTGTCCTTAACCATCAAAACTCTTCATATCCTAGCTTTCGCTGATTTTTATTCTGTCTACCCCTTCTGCCTGGCTACGTATTGCTGGGTGAGCTCCCGAGGCTTGAAAACCCAAGTATGCTGTGCTGGCTGCTATGTAATCAGTAGAGAGCCACCAGCTAAAAATTGTGTTTTGTAATGTAATGGTATTTAATAAATGTATAACTAAAAACTATGTGTGTGTGTATATACTATTTTACAGCAGTCACTAATCGATTGATTTCTAAGCTTGATTTTGCCACCTTGTGATAGTGTTCATAGCCCATTTTTTATAAACTTCACAAATATGGTAGCAACAGATAAAATCTTATGAACAATATTAAGTGTAAAAAACTCAGTAGATGCCACTGTCTATGCTACATGACTCAAAGACACCCCCTTTAAATGACTTCCAACAAAATGTCCTTGCTACAGTTACTAGGACATTGATATACTAAGGTAACCATTCGGATCAGCACAGACTTGGAAAGAAGCCTGACTAAATCAAAAATAAATTGGTCAAAAAGTAATCAGGCAAATAGCTTGCTTCGGTCTGATCTCCATGATACCAAAACGCTGCAGTCACTGGCAAAAGTTCTTTCGGATTATTGTTTCAAAATTGTCCTGCTAATGTGATTAAAGTCCACGGTCAACTTAATTGTTCTGAAGAAAGAGGAAGTGGCCCAGAGCGCCCCTTATTCAGAGGAGAGGTCGCTACCTGGTTCCTCCCAAGCTCAAACTTCCACCTATACAACTAACTCCTTCCTCTCTGCTGGTGGGTCTCTCCTTCCTGTCCCCCACCCCATTCACCAACGTTTCGCTTCTAACGCAGCACGTATTTGCAACCTTTAATACTAAGTTAAATTTGAGTCGAATTTTTATCACCGGTCATGGAAGTAACTTGTATGATAGTGTCTCAAGATATATGTCCTTGTCTTCAGTTCAGATCAACCTAGAAGATTATCGGAGTGAGGCAGAATTGAGATTATAAACGTGTGGGAATAGAAGTCATTGCTGGTCATCATATCTAGAAGGCTGCACCCTTCCCCTCCCTCCCCCCCCCACCCCCCGGCTCCCAGTATGGCACACATTGGTCAACGAATGTCATATTCAGGTTGGAATGCTGTAAAATGGTTTTATACAGGCTTCACCTAAAAGTAACCTGTAAATTACATCTGGCTCCAAACAAGTGATCACATGTAGGCAGGAAGGACTCCGGTACAGATGCCAACTGACGTGGTTCACAGATGAAATCCTTGTCGTCTAAGAATCTCTCCATTAGAGTAGCTTACAGATGTATTTATTCATAGACTGTTCACCTTGAAAAGCAAAGGCCCTCTGCTCACAGGTAGTGACAGCCTCCACTTATCCAGCGCGTTCTAGAGTATCTCTCATCTTCACAGCAACATGGCATCCCCATTATGTGGATGAGAAAACAAGTCCTGAAGAATAACATGACTTTCTCAAGGCAGTTACTGCTCACCAGTAAGTGGTGAAGCCAGGATTCAAACTCGGGTATGATTGCAAAGCCCGTGTTCTTTCCACCACACCAAGATGATTCAAGATTATGTGGTGGTAGAGTCTCTACAGAGATCATCGAGTTGGGTCTCTAGAGTGAACCCTAATCCAAAATGACTGCTGTTCTTATAAAAAGCAGTTTGTTTGGACCAAGACAAACATGTACATAGAGAAAACCATGTGAAGACACCAGGGAAAGGTGGCCTTCTGCAAACCAAGGCGCACCCAAGGCCACCAGAAGCTGGCAAAGAAGCATGGAACAGGTTCTGTCTCACAGCCATCAGAGGGAACAAACCCTGCTGACACTTTGATTTTGGATTTCTGACCTCCAGAACTACACTTCTGTTGTTTAAGCCACCAAGTTGGTGGTACTTTGTAGTGGCACTGAAGGAAACGAACACACAGATGCCAAGATGGTGGTTTCTTCTGGTTGGCGTCACATCCGTTAGTGGCCACTCTTGGTGATGCACTATTCTAAGACTAAAAGTCCAGTAGTTGTAATCTCACTGAGAGTTATAACCCAAATAAATATTCCAACGACAAACGCACAAATTAACCAGTATTCTTATCGCTGCCCCTGACATCAAGTGAGAAGGTGAACAATTTGCAGTTCGTCCCTGGACAGTGGCGTGGCCTGGCATGTGACACCCCTGTGTTCTTACAGACTTCTGGGTAAAGGTCTTCACTTTACCCAGGTGGGGTTTGTCTCCCCACCTTGTACAAGCTTTATTGTTTGTTTGTATTTTAAGACAGAGTCTCACTCTTGTCACCCAGGCTGGAGTGCGGGGGCTTGATCTCGGCTCACTGCAACCTCTGCCTCCCAGGATCAAGCAATTCTCCTGCCTCAGCCTCCTGAGTAGCTGGGACTGCAGGTGCCTGCCACCATACCTGGCTAATTTTTGTATTTTTTAGTAGAGACGAAGTTTCACCATGTGGGTCAGGCTGGTCTCAAACTCCTGACCTCAAGTGATCTGCCCACCTCAGCCTCCCAAAGTGCTGCGATTACAGGTGTGAGCCACCTTGCCTGGCCAAGAAGTTAATTCTTAATTCTCTGCACCTGAGGTCCAAAAACAAACTATAACAGTCATGTATGGTCATTACAGACAATTTTACAATGTGGAAAACAATAAAGAGGTAAGGATTACTCATAGATATCACCCAGAAAAAGGAAACATATTGGTATTTTCATGTTAGCATATGTCCTTCCAGACTTTCTTAGGGAGACATGAGCACACTCACCCACATACAACATGGAAGATATGTTTCGTGCCATTTTTACTTCCAATTATACTATGAGCACATTTTAATGTTAATCGACTGAAATTTAGATCATCATTTTAACAGCTACTAGTGTTCCATCAGTTGAATAGGCCGTAATTTAACTGTTCCTCTATTTTTTAAGGAAGTCTTTCTTTTTTGTTGTTATGACATATAACATTGCATAAACACGGCCTACATCCATTGTATACACCTGTCCAATTATTTCCTTCAGATAAAAATACGCGTTCTTAAAAAGCTTTTGATTCATGTTACCAAAATATTCCTCAGAAGCGATTCGACCAATTTGCACTCCTAAACGTAGTATGTGATG